GAGCAGGCGGCACGGGATAAGGAGGAGCTGGCCCTGCTGAAGGGGAACGAGGAGGAATTGATGGCGGAGAAGGAAAGGCTAGAGCAGGAGTTGCAGGCGGCTAGCAAGAAAGAGCAGGAGCGTGTGTCGGAGCTAGAGAAGGCTCTCGAGAGGGAGAGGGATAGGGAAGGCGGACTGGAAGCGGAACTGGGCAGACTGCGACAGGTGAGTCTGGGTGATTGAGTGGAGCCCGCATACGTTATTGACCCTTAGTAGAGCAACGCCGAGCTGTCGAGCGACCTCGAGCGAGTGACGCGGGACCTCGAACAGCAACGCGAGTCTTCACAGCTGAGTTCGACCCAGTTGGCCGACCTGCGATCGGCGCACGAAGCCCTGCAGACCACCCATGACTCGTTGACCGCCGAACACGAAACGCTGCGCTCGTCCCATGACGAACTGGATTCCACCCATTCGACGTTGAGAAACGAGCACGAGTTGTCCTCCTCCACCATTGCCACCTTGGAGTCCACCGTGTCCAGTCTGAGATCCGAGCTGGACAGCATAAAGTCCAAGCTGGGTCAGGCGACGAAACGGTCGGAAGCTGCGGAGAAGCGCCGGTCGGCGTTACAATCGGAGAACGATGAGTTGGTCCGACAGCTAGAAGAGGTCCGGGGCAAGGTGGTGGAGGCCATGGAGGAGAAAGCTACGATGGCCTCGGCCGTCGAGAGCTGGGAGACCAAGGCGAAGGCTTGGGATAAAACGCGTGCGGAGCTCGAGGCGCAGGTCGAGGAGCACAAGGTGAGCGCTGTCGCGGCGTGGGTGAGTGGCTGATGGGGCTGATTCTCCGTTGTTTTACATCAGTCTCTGCACGAGCAGGTCACGGCTCTGGCAGAGGAGAACCGGGCAAAAGAGGAACGTATAGCCTCACTCGTGCCGCTCGAGGGACAGCTCGCGACGGTCCAGTCCGAGCTGGACGACGCTCGGTCCGCCGTATCTGCTCACGAGGCCACCCTGGCGGAGCGGGAAGCCACTGTCTCTCAACAAGCCGAAACCATCGCTGCGCAGCATTCGGCGATATCACAGCATCAGTCGGACGTCGCTTCTGTCCGGGCGGAGCTGGACAGTGTTCGAGCAGAGTTGGAAGCGGCGAGAGACGCGGCTGCCAAGGCGAAAGTCGACGACGCGGTGGAGCCCGAGCCCGTGGATGCCAATACTGCTTCAGCGCAGGACTTGCGAGCGTCCGAGTTGACATCGCAAATCCGATCTCTCGAGTTATCCCTGCACGCCTCCGACTCCAAGATCCACAGCTTGTCAAAGCAGTTTGCCGATCTACAAGCTGCTCACCTTTCTGCCCAGCGGGAACGAGACGAGGCTCTGGCCGTATTGGGCGGGAGTCCATCGGCTTCGGGATCACGAGGCGCCAAGGGATATTTCCTCTCGCCCAAGGACGAGTACCCCCAGTCGCCGGGTCGACGGACGCCCTCGGCCGCGCCCGCCACCGTCATGTCTGGCGTCGATGCCATCCTGCCCGTGTCGGTCAGGCATAAACGTCAGGTATCGCTCAACGCCCTCAAGGCTAGGATGGAGCCGGTCCACACGCCGTCGTCTGCCAGGAAGGTCATGAGCTCGGTCACGGAAGACGGCGAAGAGCAGTCGTCGTCCGCCAGGGCGTCCCTCGACCAGGATAGGAGTGATCGATCTGGTCAGGGGCACGCTGGCCTTACACGCGTCAAGGCCAAGCAGTTTGGAGACGAGATCATGTTCTGCTGTCCAGCTTGCGAAGGCGACCTCATCACCTTGTAGATTGGCTCGGCGCGAGTACAACCGAGCATCTCACATGTCACACGGTCCATACATTACATCGCAGGACTGCGACCCAGCACAAACACCGATATGCATACATCCATATGGCTACAGGTATGGGCGAGGGTATAAGGTATATAACTAGCTTGATGGCGCACAGAATACTACAGTGACGCACTCTCCCGCTAACCCAGGAAGACTGTATCGTCAATCTCGATGCCAAACTCCTCCTTGGCCATGGCCTCGAACTGCTTTTGCAGCTTGTCTTCCCAGCCACCCTTCTCCTTGGGAAGGAAACCTAGGTTGAAGAGTCAGAAAGCACGGTCAAAGCCACTGGAGCCGGCACTTACGTTGCTTTTGCAGGGTGAACCAGAAGGCCAGATCCACAATGCTCAAGGTGAAGCGGAACAAGGCCGCATCTAGGCGATCCTTCAACCATGTCCAAGCGCCAACGCTCTGCAACGATCTCGACCCGGTGACGGACCGGGCGTACCCGATAGAAGCCCACTACAAGGCCTGATCAGCGTCGCGATCTCACGTTCCAAGAGTTTTCATAAAGGCCGACTCACTTTCGCTGTGAGATTGACTCGCGATGACGGCGAACCCAACAACTGGTTGTTGGCCTGCATCATCCTCTGACAACGCGTAAGGAAGATGAGCTCCTGAGGGGTTATCCTGTCAGCGATAAGGTAACCAACAGTACAGCCGCGGCTCAGATGCCCCGCTCACTCTCGGAATCAGCTGCTCGTTCTCCAACATCGTCTTCATCCGCCTCTTGAGCTCCATCTGCTGTTCATACTGGCTGAGCTCCGGCTCGGCTTTCTTCTGCTTCTTCTGCCTCTTGTTGACCTGGAACGGGCGGAGCAAGATGGCCGAAGCGAACCTGTGTACGTTGATTGTCAGCTAGGCCGCTCTACCAACCGACGGGAAGATCATCAGCCTCAATCACACTGACATGTTTGCATCCAGGGCTATTCCCCACTTGTGGGCAATCTTTTCGATCTTCGGTACATCCAGGACGAACAAAGATCGCCAGAGAGTACAGTAGTCTTCTCTGAACTCCCGAGGTAGCTCGATGTATAATCCGTGATCGATCAGTACCTGGGTAATTATGTTGGTAAGCGACAGGCGGACGGCAAAGTGGGTATATCATACGATCTGAGGCTTTCCCTTCTTGGTCGGATGTGGTCGTACCAGGATATTGCCAGGGTGAGGGTCGCAGTGTACGAAGCCCCAAGAGAAGGTCATGGCGGACATGGTGGAGATGGCAAGGTCCATCACTTCGCGCAGGTTGAGCTTCCAGTCTTCCAACTGTTTCCGGTCGTTCAACCTGTGCAGCCGAGATCAGCCACAGACTCAAGAACATCGGAAGACTGTCCACATACCTGCAACCGTCCACCCACTCCATCACCATGATCCGGTCGCTCTCTTTGCACCCTTCGTCCTCGCCGTAGACCCTAGGTATGTAGACATCTTCCCGTAGTTCGGGCGTTTGAGCCAGGAGTTCGGCACACCGTCTGGCGTTGTTGGCTTCGTGCTTGAAAGATGTCTCTAGCCGCATTTGCTCAGATACGTATTTCGCCCTGCCCGTCTAATCAGCTTCGTCTCGAGTGGTAAATCTATCACAACATACACGAAGTACACTGGAGATAGAGTTGGTCAGCTTGTACAGGAATTCCGCAGCCCGCAGATACTCACTCGGCATGTCGAATATCTTTTCCGCGAGATACATCAGTGACCTGTACGAGAACAGGTCCCACTCCATCTGCATGCTGATGGCCGGCTTCTGTACCTTGACCGCCACGACTTTGCCATCGCTTTCTCCAGCGTGAGACGGGTGCTTGAGCGTAGCCTGGTGGACCTGAGCGATGGAGGCGGACGCAAGGGGTTCGTGGGTGAACGACGCGAAGACCTCCAGCGGGTCCAGTCCCAAATCCTTCTGGAAGACCTGTAGTGGACACGTCTCAGCGGTAGCGCGCCCGCCTCGTCCGGGTGAAACTCACGCCAACGACCTCGTCGTACGACACCGCTGGAGCCCGATCGAAGACGTGGCCGAAGGCTTCCCTGTATGGCTTGGGTAGAAGAGCGGCTTGCAGCCCTAAGAGGTGGACAGGGTGCATTAGTAAGTCCCGAAGGTCCCTCTTAGTACTCGCCCCTTGAGCACTCACCTAGCGCCTGGCCCAGCTTGAGGTACAAACCCTGGTTCGTGTCGATTACCCAGCGCAGCCTGTTGGCGACTCTCTCGTGTAGCGCTTCGATCTGCTCGGCCTTGGACGGCACAAAGTTGATCTTGTCTGTGTGGTGGATATCAGCACTAGGCGTACGTGATACGGGACGGCTCAAAGTGACTTACAGTCTAGTGTACACAATAGGCTAATCGAGCGAGATCAGCTCGCCGATCGCGCGACCAGAGCTCACACTCAATACTCACCCTATATACCCCGTACGCAAGCTTCGAGTCACAGCGCTGTGGTTGAATTGTCTGTCCGCGACCCACAGGCCAGTGCCCACCGCTCCGACCACGGCTACTCTTCTGGCCCACTTGGCACCCCTCGATCGGGGAAGTCGAGGCGGCGGCACCTGTGAGGTCGAGGCGAAGCGGTGCTGTATCGCTTGGTTGACATTGCCTCCTGGCAGCCCTGCCCTGGGGTACAGGGGTCGTAGCATCCCGACCTCGTATACCGGCTGGCTATGCGCTAATAGGATTAGTGAGCGGAAGAGCGGTGTCGCTAGACTTCTTTTGATGTACGATATTTACACCCAGCTAGCCATCGAGAAAGTGATCGACATTGCAGGTGGAGGTGACCGCCGTTCATTGACGTCAGCGTCGGCTTGACTCTACGCGCCGGGCGTGAATTTCGGTGCATGGTTGCGTTGTCAACGATGCCGAGCGAGAGACTCGGGACAAGCGGCAAGGGAGAGGGCCGTCGATGGCCGGATATAGTCCGAACCAGGAGAAGATCCAAGGATGCTGACGGTGAGTGACCGGCCCGGTCCACTTGCGCGGCCCCCTCAGAAAGACACCAGAGGGAGGAAGGGAACGCTCAGATCAGATACTTTAGGGGGTCGACTGCGTAGCGTAGAGGGTCTCCAAGCATCATTCGAACCAGAAAGCGGGCTCCCTTAGACAGACAGGCTATATGGTGTGAGTCAAAGCGTTGATGTATTTTGCCCGCTCTTGAAAGGATATATGGCAAGCAGAAACGCATGAAACGCGCGCCCCCCTAGCTCAGTTTGGCTAGAGCTTCCGACTTTTAGATTAGATAATTGATCGGACGGTCGCGGGTTCGAGCCCCGCGGGGGGCTTTTTTTTCCTCTCGGCGAGTGAATCGCACTCTGCGGATCTACTGCGCTTCTTCAGCTCGTCGCAGCCACTTCATGCATGTAGCGGGGGGTCATGGGGCACTGCCATATAAATGATGATGGGTGACTTTTGGGTGCTAGTGCTTGAGGTAGACAACAGATCGGCGCGTCTAGTGACGCCTTCCTGTTTGGGTCAGTTCAGTGGTCCTGCACAGACGGTTTCGTGGTTGATGAGAAGTATTGGCGTATCACTGGGATGAGAGGCGGTAAGACTGCTTTTCGCGATACCAGAGACCAGCTCAGGATTATGACGCGCCACGAATCACAGCAAGGGGTGTATAGAAGCAAAGCTTGGTGCATTGTGAAGTGGGACGTGGTCACTTGTCCGCGATGAGCGTCCTTGTCTCGCTGAAATCACCTCTGCAAGGCTCAGTCGCGCGTACACCGACATCAAGTCGGTGTACACTGAAGAGAGCGTGTGGTGTATCCCGTGCAGGGCCTTCGAAGACCTCGTCCCTTGCAGCTGGACGGCCCGGCGTGACTCGAGCGAGAACGTATGCGCTTGACCCCTTGACGCGTTCGAACAGTTCAAGCGGTACTGTTCAGGACACGATTCTCGGTAGACATAAGTCTGAAAAGACTTGCTCGATACTGGCAAGCCTGCCCCCGTCGAGGCAGTCGGACCATCAGGACGAATTGCGCTTATAGCCTCTGGCAGCAAAGTCCGAGCTGTGGGGCCGGCAAAGAAAATGGCCAGAGCGTGCTTCAAGGTCAAGGGTGATCCATTTCCGACAGCCTGATCGCAGCGAAGGATGGTTCCTGCCTCGTTTCGATACTGTGACATTTCGAGCGGTGAGTGATGAGGATTTCTTGCCAGAAAGCAACCCAAGGGATCATCAGGAAGAATTCAAGTCTTTCCCAGCGTGGTATGCCGAGCCAAGCAGTGAGTAAGAAGCAGCAGTACAGCAAAGTACAAGGCATCATTAGAAGTGTCTTAACGTCTCGCTCAAGGCCTGCGAGCAGAGGGTCGCAGAGCGCGAAGGCGCAAGCGAGTCGTTGAACGACGCACAGGAAATGTCTACCAGACACACCGTTTTTCTTGGCATCAATGGTCGGCATGGCTTTCACCTTGCCGCGCATCACACCGTATGCATCCGTAGGCTAGATCAGATGTTTACGTGCCTTTACCTCCTGTCCCGCTTGCGATCCTTTGCCCTCTCTCTAACCCCATATCGATCCTGGTCCCTATCCTTGCCCCGATCACCTCGATCCCAGCCATTCTTAATCCCCCGATCGCCACGATCCTCCCTGTCCTTGTGCTTGGCAGGTGCGAACCCTATCTCGCGCCTGCTCCCGCTAGCCTGAGACGCCTTGACAGCTTCTTGTTTTGTCTTTTGAGCCTCGGCGAGGGCCCTCGGGCCATAGGTCGGTACGAGGGATTCCAGGTTACGTCGTGTCAGCCAGCCTGATTCCGGGAATGCGGTGGCTCTTTCGTCGATGTCCACGAACTCGACCTGGACGGAGTGGTCAGCTTGGCTCATCGCGCGGTTCGTATGCGGTAACATGGCGTTGAGAGTTTGTCGAGAGTATAGCCAGGATCAACTGACCAGCCTCGAGTAGATATGTGGGTTGGCGAATGCAGAAGACGATAGCAGCCGCGTGTTGATATGCTCCCCTTGCTCGTGTTTCAGCCGTAAAAAATTCTGCACCTTTGCCTGATCCCCAGACATCAGCGATTCACTCGTTTCTCTATCTGGTCGACAGACCTTGAGTGCCTCGCTGGCCAGACTGGGATCGACGGCGGGAGGTATGCCCCAGTCGTCGACACCCGGCAGGTCTGGAGGTCGTGTAAATGTGCGTACGACCTCATCTGGGTCTAACCCCTCTAGCTCGCTCAGCGGGCCCGATCCCGCGTGTCGACTCGGCAGACCATCTCCACCAGCCAGTTCTGATCGCGACAGGGCGGATTGACTGGTGTGAGTCAGATTTTCAGGCAGATCGTCGTCCTTTGCGTGTCCGAAAGAAGGCGGTGACGACCGACGTTGTCGTTTCGTGCTCGACGTCGCGGATGTTGCAGGCGACCGGGAGTTGACAGTCACTCCGCTTTGCCTCTTGACCTTGATCGATGACTTGAGCGTCTGGACGGCGGACGAGGCTGGGGACAAGCTTATGAGCACTCGACGGTCGACTGGGCGATTCTCAATCCACCCACCTGACACTGTGGTATCCCTCAGTCTCTGTCCTCGCAGATTAGGCCCAAAGCCAGAGACAGTAGTCCGATGCCCCGCAACAAGAGAGCAAAGGACGAGAAAGGAGAGAGGGCACGGTGTGATCATTCGTCCCCCACCATTCCATCGACCGAGCTGGATGACTTACGGAAGGTCCAGCTACAGGGGTCAGGCCATCGCGAGGTTCCGGTTCCGGCGAAGAGTCGTCGGCGTAGTGGACGAGGCCTGGGTGTGTCAGTGGGAGGCACAGAACGAGCAACGTGTCGAGTAGCTCACCTTGCATCTCGGACGGACCCCTCTCAAACTGGTCACTATAACACAAAGGTGACACCCGCAGGAAGATGGAGAAGGAGAGAAATGGTGGTCGATGTTCACTCGCAATGTTATGACGGGATCTGTCGGCGATCGCCGTCATCAACACCGCGCACGACATACATTTGACTCTTCGGAATCGAGTCTCACCATAGTCACGAACGGGGTAGATGGGGATCACCTCTATCCAGCGACTCTCTCGACGTTGTCTGCAAACTGCCCTCAGGAATCAAGCCTGTAACGCACTCGAACGCCCACGAGATGTCCGAGGTATCGCCCATACAGCCTCTCCCACCCAAGGGGAAGGGAAGGAACGCTAATGCCATCGAGCTTATCTCGGGCAGTATAGGAGGCGCTTCGCAGGTGCTGACCGGGCAGGTGGGTCCTTACCGAGGGAGGTTGGTGCTTGGCTGATGGATTGATGCAGCCCCTGGATACGCTCAAGACGGTACGCTTAGCCGGACATCTCACCACTCTCGTGGACTGACCAGCGCCTATTACAGCGAGCTCAAACCGCGCCCAAAGGACAGTTCAAGAACACGCTGGATATCCTCACCACGACCATCAAGAATGAAGGGTTCTTTGCGCTGTACAAGGGCATGGTGAGGCCGCGAGACTCATGGCACTGTACCAGAACGGGCTCGGTGAAGGCTGACAATGACCACCCCGACAGCTCTCGCCTCTGCTCGGTATCGCCGCGGTCAACTCGCTCCTGTTCACGGCGTACGGCGTCTCCAGGCGTATCGTATCCCCCTACCCCGAGCTGTCAATCCCCCAGGTGGCCACCGCGGGAGCGATGGCCGGCGCGGTCAATGCCGTCCTGGCCTCCCCTGTATGTTTGGCCGTTGCAACATCCCGCGATTCCCCTAAGGCGTTCCGCTAGCTAACAGAGTCGGATCCAGGTGGAGATGTTCAAGATCAGGATGCAGGGCCAGTACGGCGGAGCGGGTGACAAGAAGCTGAGCGGAGTTGTCGGTGACATGTGGCGGGACTATGGGTTCAGGAATGGTATCATGCGAGGATACTGGGTCACCGTCATCCGAGAGATCCCGGCGTACGCGGGATTCTACGCCGGTGAGCTTCGTCGATGCTCTCTCTCTCTCACTCTCTCTCTCGATGTAGTTGGCTGAACGAGACCTTCCCCCGGCAGGCTACGAGACGTCCAAGCGTTACTTTGCCAAAAAGTACGCGCCGGGCGCCGTACCCGTCTGGGCCACGCTCACGTCCGGAGCGATCGGAGGGGTGGCCTACTGGGTGGCTTGTTACCCGCTCGACATCATCAAGTCGAGGGTACAGCTCGCCAAGGCGCCGCCCACGAGGGGAGGATGGGCTTCGGGCGGTTACGTCGGAAGGGAGTTCAGGGCCATCGTGGCCGAGGGCGGAACGTGAGTCGAGCAGCGAGGCATGCTTCGTGACCTCCATTCAGGATCATCGCTGAAAATCTCCTCGCCGCAGCAAGGCACTCTTCCGAGGTATCGCTCCGTCCCTCTTACGAGCTGTTCCGGCCGCCGGAGCCACATTCGCGGCGTACGAAGCGGCCAAGGGTGAGTCTGCCGGGATCGCAAAGCAAACTTGTACTGACCTGGCGCAGACTACATCCTCAAGCACGACTTGCTGTGAGCGCAAAAGTGATCGTGTCACGCTTGATATGTATCGCCACGACCCGAGAGGCAGTCATCCTCAGCTTCGGTGTAGCTGGCTTTCGCATGGATTTGTGCGCGACGACTTCACCAGTGACAAGAGGCGGACAGCTGAAGTGACAGGTCTGCCATCGCAGCTGAATAGACCGATCCACAGCCACGTATATATCCATTTCACCCGATACCCCACTCTAAATCCCAAAGAGACAAGCCCATATCGACCCCCTCGTACTGTTACAATGCCAGGTGTCCCACCTGAGGCCTACCAGAACTGTGTGAGATCAGGATGTACACCATCTCGCGATCTGAGCAACACAATATTGGATGAGGTGGTCGAGAACTGCATTGTTCCGTGTCAGCGCCCTGCCCCTACGCCAGAGAATGGCACGCTTACCCCGTTGCCCACGAACACGCCCGCCCGTCTGCCCACCTCCATATCCACCGCGACGCCGACCTCTTTATCCTGCCAATCCGGATACACGTCCTCTTTCCCTATCCACACGTTGTCCCAGCCCTCAGACTGCAGCCACATCCTGATCTCCTGTACCCAGGCATCCTCAGCATCTGTGAGAATGTAGACGGACTTGAGCAGCGGGTGGTTCTTCCTCATTCGCCTGGCTCGAGCGATGATTTCGAGGGTTTGAGGAAGGCATTTGGCGCGATACAGGCCCATCCTTGTCGCTTCCACCATGTCGGGGGGTGGCGGCACGTTCTCGTTGCCTGGCAGCGCGGGCAGCTTGTTGAAGGACACGAATGGGCTAAAGCATCACGTTAAGCACAACTCGAGTGTACGGCTGAGACCACACTCACGCAGCGTTCCGTC